CTTTTCTCCTTCTAATCCCTTCTCCTTTTTTATTTTTGTTTTTTGATGAGTCCCCTCTGTAACCCACACTGGCCTGAACTCACTATGCAGTTCAGATGGGTTCTGAACTTGTGGCAATCTTCCACCTCAGCCTTCCAAGTGCTGGGATTACAGTCATGAGCCACCATGCCCTGTTACAGGACTTATAAAGGTCCTCCATGTCCCTTTGTCCTGACATATTATGTCAAATACCACATGGGCTAGTTTGCCTCTGTATAGAATAAGTAAAAGAATTCAGAGCTTTTCATCTTTAAAATAGGAATAATAAATCATTTGTGGAGTTTTGTGAGGATTAAGTGAGATCATTGTGTAAGGAACCTGTAGGTACATTACCTAGAGGTATAAAATGGCCTTAGTCCTTCTCCCTTGCACAACACTTTTCAGTAGTTTTTGCTGACCAATTGCTTCTTTTACTTCTTCTCAGAAACAACCTAAAAATATATATAGAATCCATCCCCACTGTCACTCACAAAGTTGCAATAAATATTTAATTGATCTTCCTAATTCTATTTTTGCTTGCTTACAGTATTTGGCAATTTGTTTGTTTACTTGTTTATTAGTTTTGAGGCAGGTTCTCATGCAGTCCAAATTGCCCTTGAACTTGCTATGTCACTGAAGATGGCACTGAAAACCTGATCCTCCTCATTCTACCTGCCAAATGCTGGGGTTGCTGATAGATGTGTTCTTCCTTGCCAAATGTATGGTCTATTTTAAATTCAATGGCCAAAGCAATTCACCATAATATTCATCTACTCAAAATCCTACAGTATCTGTACTTCATTAAGAGAAAAACTTAATCTTTACCAAGTCTTACTCTTTCCTCAGCACTTGGACCTCATCTGCTTTCTCCAATAGAAAACAAACATTCCCTATTCACTTGTTCTCTTGGTGTAGAGCTTTCCTCATGACATAGTCCATCATCTCTTGTAATTTATACATCTGTTATTTCCAAAAGAAATTTTTAGAGACTACTAATCTTAAAATTGCAGTATCTTTCTCCAACAATCCATATCATCTATTGCTTTCTTTTTCTTCATGGAAGTTTTTGCTGTTTGACAGACCACAAAATTTAATTATCTAATAACATCCCCACTAGAATACAAGCTTAAGGGCCAGTGAGATAGTTCAGTAGCTGACAAACCTGATGATCTAAGTTTAATCCTCAGGATTCACATGGAAGAAAAGATAAATTCCTACAAGTTGTCTTCTGAATTCCACATTACAACACATGCACGCGCGCACGCGCGCGCGCGCACACACACACACACAAATAAATAAATAAATAAATAAATAAATAAATGTAATATTAAAAATAGAACCCAAGATGAAAATGGCCACA